GGATGAGAGCTTAGTAAACTGGCCAGGAGTAGCAAATGTTTAAGAGAATTTAAGTTTATTAGTCTTTCGAATATATTTTGATATAAAATATATTTAAGAAATTTGTCTACAGATTCATTAAAAAGTTTCGGCCATCTAAAGAGGCGTTTGTGAGCCAAATCGATTTAAAATATTTTAAAACTATCAACAGTGCTACGATTTTGTTCTCAGAGATCGTGCCAACAGAGTATTGGGATTTTCTTTCACAAGTAAAACCAGCCTTTGGAGCTTGTGTTTAGTATTCACGATATTAGAACTGCATGAAATTAATAAAAATTGTTTAAAATTAGTGTCTAGCCGCCAAAATGTAAGAAAACATATACAAAATCATACATTTTCCACAATTTTCTAACACTTCGCTACACCATCGAAAGCAAAATTCTGTTCGACAGATAATTCGATACTCAACGAAAATTTCGACACGCTTGCATAGCTCATAATACGAATTTCACTTTCGATCTTCGATCTTCGATAGCCAGCGAAGATCGAAAATCGAATGCAGCTCATAATAAGGGCCTATGTTTACGTTGAGCCTTTAACTCGAGTTTATGGGCCATTTTAGAGTTAAACGTTAAAGACTACTAATTAACTCGGAGTTTGCCACACAAATAATTTTCGTTTAACTCGCCTTAACCACACAAGCGAATGCAACCCTTTTTTGACCGAATTTGGTTTGTGTCTTTGATAATCCAAACCTGTTCCCGTACTGCAGGATTTAATCAGAAATAGTCCGAGGTCGTTCCGTGCACATAAGTGTAGAGTATCAACAATCTATCTACGCAAAACCCAAAAATGAGGCGGAAGTAAAACATAAAGAAGATATCAATGGTTAAAGTTATTTTTTTATTTTTTTAAATATTAATATGTTCTGAACAATATAACCTATTAAAAAACTAATAACGTCGAAATAAAGGTAATTAGAGGGTATTTCACTTGGTGTACATACTTTTTTTTTATGTTTGTAAGCCAGAAATACCTAATAACCAAAAAGGTTTTCGAAAAGGTTTGCGATCGGTCAAATATTTTCCGAGATATAAATATAAAAATATAAAAGTTGAACATTAACTTCTTTTATTGGCTTTAGTTTTTATTTGCGCCAAATAATCTTGGTATGGTTGAAATCAGCATGAAAAGTTTTATTTAGCTACATTTTTTATTTCTTTATGGCTAAACGGTTGGTATTCTACCCCACGGCTACATCGGACTATTTCTGTATAAATCCTGGAGTACCGGAACAGGCTAAATGTGAATAAGGAAAAGTAAACAAACAAAGGTAAAATTGGAGTCTGAGTTTATTAAACACCCCAATGAGAACACTTGACGGTTGTTCATAAACTCAAAACGTTAAACTCGAGTTATAATTTCAATGTGAACATAGTATAAACCGGGACTGCATATTAACGTTAATTTCATCAATAAACGAAAATACAAAATCGCTTTTGCTTTTTACAGCGATAATGTTAACATTTTGGCTGCATTTCTTTATTCATTTTGAACGTTTGGAATAAACTTTTTTGTTTACTTATTCTTTAGAACGTTCCTGATGATATGTTAACGTATATTTTAAACGCATTCTGTTTATTCTGGCTGTGAAATGGGATTAGCTGGAATGTATAAAGAAACGCAGCCTATGTGTTTATGAAAAAAATTTCATTTTGTTAATTAGCAGAAAAATATGTCAACAACAATTTTGTTTCGTTGATTATCAAAAAAGCAAAATTGTTTCTGCAGCAAACAAAAAATTTAATAAACAGGCAAGTTTCATTATTTTAAGGAATTGTGGGAACAATGGGTCGTAGAAAAGTAGTAGTAGAGTCAATTGTAGTTGGGTGAAAATTTCTTAACTAGACCTCAGATTTCAGTCAAGTTCGAATTTTTGCGTGAAAATTTGTGGGTAGAGAGGCTTATAGATGTGAAAGGGGTTCTGAGAATTTTTTTTTTATTTTAATTTTAAAAGTTTTTATAGGCAAATATAGTTTTAAGCAATCTTTTTTTCAAAACTCATTATCTCTTAAAGTATTTGACGAAAGTTGATGAAATTTTTTTTGTAAGCGAAGTGACATTAGAACTTAAAAAAAATATATTTTTGTAATTTAGAAATAAAAAAAAAATAAAATAGAACATAAATATTCAAGTTGCATTAAAAATATGTTCTCAATGAGTGTTTTCTATCTCGTCTATATTTTCGAAATATGCATTTATTGAAGAAAATATTTATAAAAAAAAATTTGTTAGATCTGTTCTGTTTTTGACTTACGGCACCATTTGTCACAGCGCGCACGCATCGTGAACCATGCACGCTCACCGCCTTTGCGAGCAACGTGTGCACTAGAAAGCACGTACCGAAGCAACTAACAATTGGCTCATATTTGCGACTTTTAACATAAACTTATATAATAATGAAGGCATTTGTGGTATTTTTAAGGCATTTTTAGGTTAAGCTTGGTATGTGTTAAAATAATCTGATCAAGTCCATCTTTTTGGAGTTCACGCGCATCTGTATGGTTCTAGCGCCATCAGTCAACCATAAGTATGTAAATTTTATGTATAATAATTTTTTTATTGTGATTGTTCAGGTGTTCAACGTCGCACAGTGGTACAGCCCACAGCCCCATAAATTTTTTTGGAAAAATAGAAGGAGTCGGCGTATAACCTCAATGTTCGGTGTGCAACATTTATGATTTATTTATAAACCTAACCTCAAAGACGTCTTAAAAATCCTATAAAAACTGCACCGATGCATATATAATTCCGAAATTTTTCCCATATATTTGTAATAATCAGGGAACGGATTTTATGGAATTAAGAATGACCACGATTTTGCTTTCCCTTATTTCATATATACACATCTGAAGTTGAATTTTTTTGCCTTTTTTAAGATATGTATTCGCCTTTACTTACTTTAATTGTAAAGGGCAAGCCCTTCCCAGCAGCGAAAAGCTGAACCAATATGCACAAATTCCAGCTCATGAACTATTATTTAAGGATAAAAGTCATACCAGTTCGTTATGGACCATAATTATACCAGTTCCTCGTAGAAAAAAGTAAACTAGTTGGTAGAAATTCTAGTTCGAAAACTGGTATTAAATGGGGAAGTCATAACAGTTCGTCATGGACTTTAACACTATGCGACAGTCAAAATCGGGATGGGATGAATCCAACGGGAAATGTTATATCGGTCAAAAACAAGTTATACGTGGCCCGGCGTTTCGCTGGGTCACGTCTAGGAATCGAGATATATCGATTTGAAGTTAGTAACTATCATATAGGGGGAATTGTCACCTTTCGTGGTCTTTTTTTGACATAACTCGAGAACCACTAGTCCGATTTTGCTCAAACAAATTTAAAAAAATTAAAAATTAAAATTCCTTTAATCTGTTATTGGCAGTGAAATTCCAAACCAGTCAGTATAAATACTAGTTCATTAACTAGTATGTGCTAAAGCGACGGCCTACCATGCCGGCTATTTCGAACAACTTATGCGATCAGCGACATCTGTGTTTGAATAGCCACAACCAAAACTAAAATGCGGTTAATTGCTTTCATCTCGTATGTCGGCTGTGGCGTCGAGTGAAGACTATCGATTCTGGTTCTGAGATCTCAGGTTCGAGTGCGCTTGGAGGTTGTTAAAGTAAACTAAGTAAATTAATTTAAATAATTATTTCAATTTAAATATAAAATAAAAATTGTACATAAATTGAATTTCAATTGGAAAAAACCTAAATACTCAAATACCGTAAAAATATTAAAATAATTCTTTGTTCTTTTTAAAACAATACATTTAAAAATAACAAGAGATATAAATAAATAAGAAATAAAGAAAAGATTCGCTTACTGAGATTCGAACTCGGATCTCTTTATTTGGCGTGCCGAAGCATTACTCTGTCGACCATTGCCACAGTTGCAGCGCCACGAGCAAAATGGCAAACTTATGCTTTTCACGGGGGATGAATAGGCAGTCTATCCCGTCAACTGGTATGATAATACTAGTATTTCTACTGGTAGCGTGCTGATGCAGGAGTGGGCAATTGACATCTCCTATGACACTGCCATGTTAAAAATACCAGTTGCTAACATTGAAAAAGGATACAACGTGAACTAGTTGGGCTGAAATGCAAACTGGTAGCATTCACAACTAGTAGCTTTCCATGCAGGGTTATTCCTGATAATATGAAAGTTTTAAAAGTTCCATATTTAAATTGGGCGCCACTTGTATTAACTCACGTCGAGCGCACGTTTAGTACATTTAAGGCATTTCTTGGCGGACACCTAATAAAAATGCTACCAGAAAACTTCAAAATGCATCTTGTGGTTCAATGTTACTACAACTATAGAGATTAAAGTTTTGCGAGTTAAAAACTCAAATGGAGAAAATAGTCAAAGATGCAAAGTAAACATTTTTGATATAATGAAACTGTGTAGTTCATGGTTTTCCTCTTTTTGCTTGTAAAATAAACATTTCTTAAATAAATGTATTTTTTGATTATTTTTCGGTTTTTGTCTTTATTTAGTACCTTATTTTGCCTTCTAGTCCCTTTTCCTGCCTATTTCCCCTTTATTTGTAGGTTGTTAGGTTCTAAAAATCCGTTCCCCGGTAATAATGTTGTATGTGAACTTCAAAAAATGGAATTAATGGGATTATTTTAACACATACCTCCGATGCAAAACTTAACATAAAAATGCTTTAAAAATATCATAAATGTCCTCATTATTATATGAGGTTACGTTAAAAGTCTGAAATATGAGCCAATTGTTATGTAGTTGCTCTAGCAGGCGCTTTCTAGTGAACACGTTGCGTGCATAGGCAGTGAGCGTGCAAATTAACGCCACCAATCACCCGTAGTACTTACCCGCTAAGTAAACAGTGAGCCACTTAGGCATATGTGTCAAATATGTCAATGACACGTTAGCCATTGGGTAGCGCACAGGAGACAACTCCACAGTTCATTTTTAATACTTACCAGTTATGTAAACCAGGTGTTCCCAAACTTTTTTCACCTCGGCACCCTTGTTGTGCTAAAAAAATTTCGCGGCACCCCTAGTCTTCAAATGTCTACGAAAACAAGAAAACACAATGCAAACTTTATGCTCCTTTAGTTTTCATGTGAGGACTGAAATCGTTTTGATGTTTTCATTATTTCCTTTAAGTTTATTGGGAGCTTTGACAATTTTACGAAGGTTATCGATTCGTCGGAATATTTTTATGTTATTTTTTTTCTATGTATGTTACCGCATAACTTGGAACCACGTTAACCGACTATTATAATTCTTTTTTAAAGGAAAGCTCTTACCTGACAAGTGGTCTAATTTGGTTTAAATCAGATCATTGGATCATGAATAGATTAACTATAAATCTTAAATTTTTAGATGGGAATTGAAATCGGTTTTGTTTTTTTTTTTTGTTTAAAAATTACTTGTTTATGAAAGCATTTGTTAAAAATGCAGCCTCACATAGAAATGTAAAAGTAAGGCCCCTATTATGAGTTCCATTTGATCTTCGACTGTGGTCGAAAGTGCTGATCGGACGAATTTTCATTTGGTGTTGTCAGAGGACGTACATTTATCGAACGTAAATGATCGTATGTAAATTTGTGCAAATTAAAATGAAATAAAAAAGAAACGAGTTTATAAAACCGTGGTAAAAATGAGTACAACGGAGTTCTGATTCAACGATTCGTCAAGGGATGAGTGCTTGGTAAACTGGCCAAGAGTAGAAAATGTTTAAGGGGGTTTAGGTGTAGTCTTTCGAATATATTTTGACATAAAATATATTTAAGGAATTTGTCTACAAATTTATTAAAAACTTCCGACTGTCTATAGAGGCGTTTGTGAGCCGAATCTATTTAAAATATTTTAAAACTATCAACAGCATACGATTTTGTTCTCAGCGATCGTGCCAACTGAAGCCATCCTCAGAGTCAATGTTGGGAAATTATTCGACAATGTTTTTTTTTCAAACCGTCCAAGTTAACGCTGGTAATGCGCGTTAACGCTATGAATATAATTTTGACAGCTAATTCACGAAAGCAATTTAAGTGAAAAATGATTTTACTTTTTTGAATGTTATATGGAAACTGCTACTGAAACCGGCTGCTATCAATTTTCTTAGCGTTAACTTCGAAGCTACATACGTCTTTCTGATTACTTTGTTTAAAAAACCAGAGATGTATTTTAATTTCGCAGGCCTCTGTTATCTTCGCAGCGTCATCCAATTCGGGTTTTAAATTTAGTGGCGGCATCTTCCTAGTCGCCAGGGAATACCGAGGGATCATACAGAGACTTCTCGTAGCGTTTTCTGCCTCTTGCTTCATCCTAGACGCTCCTTTCGTTTTTCCAACCACCGAAAATATCCGCACACTTGCTCCATTTCAAACCATTGTTTTGTAAAAATTTGTCGATAATAATAATATAATAATAGATTGGCGCTTACACATATGTTAGTGTTTGGCCGAGCTTCTCCTCCGATTTGTGGCGTGCGCCTTGATGTTGTCACACAAAGAGGAGGGACCTACAGTTTTACGCCGACTCCGAACGGCGATTGTATTTTTATGAGAAGCTGTTTTTCATGGCAGAAATACACTCGGAGGTTTGCCATTGCCTGCCGAGGGACGACCGCTGTTAAGAAAAAACCTTTTTTCTATTTTTTTTTTCGATGTTGCTTTTACCAGGGCTTGAACCCAGGCGCAGCGGAGCGGAAGCGCGCACTGCTTACCACTACACCACAGCGGCCGACATAGCTTCAAAAATTTCGTCGTCGGAACATTAATCCGAAAACGGGAAGAAAAGTGGATGAAACTCGGATTAGATCTACAAAAGTACCGAAAGTGGTTGTGAAAAGTGTACGTTTTCATCTATTTTTCTGAAAATTTGCTGATTCAATTTTGCGTTGACAAAACGTACTGGGGAACTATGCTTAAGAGCGAAATATCCCTTTGCTGCAAGCTATTTGTGTTGTGTATGGAGTATGACGAGCCGCTGAAGGTAATTTTAATAAAAATAAAATTTTTTGATTTTCTGGCCGCCATGTTGAAGTTTAATTAAACCGCTTGCGTTGTGTATGGAAAGTCTAAAGAATTGGCCCGCACCACTAGTATACTCTAGCCACTAGCGTCACCCACTTTGGGAAGGCCTGATGTAAACAACTGTAACTTAATTGAATCACTTAGGCAAATTTACCAAATATATAAATGGCACATTGGCAATTAGAAAGCGGCCATCACCTAACACCTATGGTCTGCTTTTTGTAGAATTGCGATATATAATAGAATTAAAAGCACATCATCTAACATCTAGCTTTGCACTTCCTAGAATTTAAGCTTGGCTTTTGTATTTAGACTTATGTGAAATATTGTATAAAAAGGAAAGATTAATAAAGAAGGCAGTTCCGTTTTACTGACGTGCCACGCAACGAGGTTGTTCTTTTTAAAAACCTTCCGCGCTTCGCTGGAATATTAAGTGGCCATCCTGCCAGGAGTTGTAAAAAAAGCCCGAAAAAACAAAGTACGGCTAGTGACATCTCCCTGGGGACCAAAAATAAGCGTTTTAACGTTTTAAACAAAATGTTATAAAGTTTTTTTTTAATTCTGTAGTAACCGCATAAGGAGACAAAAATCTCCGTGTTACGGATACAGAAACGCAAACAAGTATCGCGAAAAATGTGAGAAATATAAAAACAAAAAATTATAAAAAAAAAATTGGTAACCGCGAAGAGAGCCAAAAATCTCCGCGTTACGAAACCAAACAAACATACAAGTATCGCGAAAAATGCGAGAAAAGTAAAAACAAAAAATATATAAGAAAAAAAGGAGACAAAAATCTCGTTACTATAACAAACAAAAAAAGTCGTTCCGCGTACCCGCAACAAATAAAAAAATAAAGCACCAAAACGGTGACACGAGGATTTAACTTAAGATGGTATGAGGATAAAAGTAAAGGTGATACGAGAATTGAACCGAAGGTGGTAAGAAGATAGAACGGAGGGAGATACAAGGCGAAAATATATAAGAATATTTAATGGGAAATAGGCCCAGTAGTTTAGGATGCAAACGATTGTATTATTGTGAAATGTGTAGGGAAAACCACAGTAGGGCAAAGTGTCCACAAAATTTAAGAAAGAAATGTTTGCAAAAATATATAAATAAATTGTTCATAAAGAAGTGAATAGTATTTACATACGTAAGAATAGTTTTATTTTATGTATTTCATTACTCTTATTAAGTAGATATGACGGACGCTCTACCAGCGGACCTAGACTATGATGAGATAAATAGGATGGTAGAAAATTTAGGAATACAAGAACATTCTGATGAGGTTATAAAAAGGGTTTTAAAGAGAAAGGGCATTTTTGACGAAGACATAGGTAGCGACGAGAGGGAAATAAGTTGCATGGCAGCAGTTTTCAAGTTTAGGGAAAGAATAAAAGAGCTACTCTTGAAGGTTTTTATAATCAAGAGACCTTGGAGTCAGAGACAGTTGCGCAGATTTAAGTATCAAAGAGATATATGAAATAGTAAGCAAGCTGGAAAGTTTAATAGACAGATTTTCAATAATGCCGATTACAAACAATGTCATCAATAACGCATCCAATATGGATGTGGTATCGAGACTAATAGTAGCCAGTACTGCCTCACTACGTAGTGAGGTGGAACAAGTTAGACGTCAGTTAGAGGCTTTAAACAGAACAAACAATGTTACTGAATACGTGACAGAAACGATTGAACCCAGTATAATTTGCGACGCAACGTTGGAGGTAATAAAGTCCCTTCCGGAATTTAAAGGAAAAGTTAATAATTACGTTAGTTGGCGTGAGGCGGCCAACAACTCTATGTCATTATATGGGCAAATCTAAAAAACAGGTAACCTTGGTGTTATTTACCTTTATTTTTACTATTGGAAACTTTATTAAGCTGGTTGCTTTTGAATATAATTCATTCACGTATACTTGAAGCCTCAAAAAATGTGGATCAATTTGCTGCATAACTTTTGAATTATAGGTGTTTAAATTTAAAAAAATAATGAAAACAAGTGAATTTTTTATGTAACTTTTAAGAGGGGCAAAATTAATTATGTCATAACTTTTGAAGCACCCCATATTCTGATTTGAAATTTAATGGGCATTTAGCACTTATGTGTATACTTTATATGTAGTAGATAAGAAAAGTGTGCATTAAAAAATAACGAGATGGAGGGTAGCTCAAAGTCTGTAACTCCAAATTTCACAATTTTCAAAATGTTCGGCTTATCGCGTACAGTTTTTGAAGCATTTAATTTTAAGAACTTTTTATGTATGTATTGTATTCTACAAACAGTTACGAATAATTTGATACCTTAGCAAGAGGTGTGCTTTCAGAATAAACCAAGTTTTAAAGATAAAATATTCTGCGATCTTGAGCGTAATTTTTATTCCAAAAATATGTTAATTGAAGGCACATTTGGAAAATTCGTCGAAACGATCTAAATATTTTTATAACTACTAGTCCTTATAACGTTGCATATACCTGTAAAATGCTTAAAAAAATGTTCTCTAGAAGTGTGTAAAAACCCCGATTTAGTACCTTTAATTATGCTCCTTCTTGTAGTCAGAATATTTCGAGCGCGGTATCAAATCAATTTTTTTTCGACAAAGGTTCTGATATTTGCTCCTACTTAATTGGAGCCTTCTAAATTCAATGGCGTCCCCAGTTTTGTCCGATTGTCTCCACTTTTGGAGATAGCGGTACTTGAAACCTTGCTTAAATTTGAACTATTTAATAAAAAAAACTCCCTCAGTTTTGAAGATATTTTACTAAAATTTTGCACACGGTTATATCTCATAAAATCATCGAAGTCGGTTCACTCTAAAATCTAGCTCCCATACAACTGATTGTCCAGAGATGTTGTTTTGCGTTATAACCCTCCAGTTAAGCAGGTAAAAATTTAGTATAATTTCACTTTAACATATAGCACGCATACAATTTATTATTCAGATATGAAGTTAGAGTTATAGCGCAAAAATACATATCTGAGTAATCAGTTGTATTGGAGCTATACATTCGATAATTTT